AAAATAATATAACAAATTTAGAATAACCAGTAATAATTAAAATAAAATTAATATCTTAAATATCTTAAATTAATAAAAATTAATCTCCTCCCCCCTGAGTCTCTCCGACCTCTATAAAAACAGCCCCTTCCTTTTGTCCTCCCTCTCTTCTATTATTTTATTCTGTTATTTCGACTTCTGTTTGTGTTTCCTTCTCTTCCTGTTGTAATGGCACCAAATGGCGTTGTTCCGGAGAAAGGCCTCATAGTCAGCTTCGGCGAGATGCTGATCGACTTTGTCCCCACCGTCTCCGGTGTCTCCTTGGCGGAGGCTCCTGGCTTCCTCAAGGCTCCCGGCGGTGCTCCGGCCAACGTCGCCATCGCCGTCACTCGGCTCGGTGGTCGCTCCGCCTTTGTCGGCAAACTCGGCGATGACGAGTTCGGCCACATGCTCGCCGACATCCTCAAGCAGAACGGCGTCTCCGGCGACGGGATCTGTTTTGACCAGGGCGCTAGGACCGCTCTTGCCTTCGTCACACTGCGTGCCGATGGAGAGCGCGAGTTCATGTTCTACAGGAATCCTAGTGCCGATATGCTGTTGACGCCGGGGGAACTCAACCTCGATCTTATCAGATCTGTAAGTGATTCTCATTTTTCATTAGGTTTATTTTCTGCTTAAAACAAATCCGTTCACTTTTTCCGACTCCGATTCAATATTGACTTAAAAAACCAAATGAAATTTCGGTTTAATGAATATCTCCGGTATGAAGAGAAACGCCAATCTCACCGGCCGCAGTGATATGTAAATCGTAACTCGTAAGTCCTTTTGTGAAATTGACACGCCATCAATATCGTATATCATAGGGTATACGATCCATGTGGGACCCTGCTAGTGTATCTGACTTATGCTCCAAATACTATTAAAAAAATAATTTAGGAATAATTTTTTATTTTTAATATAATTTTATATATTATTTAAATAATTAATTTTTTATTTATTTAAAATTTATAATATTAATTATATTTATTGTATAAAAAAATAAAAAAAAATTTCTCTGTAAGGGCGCCCCTTTTTTTTCAATCGAAGTCCCCCGAAATCGTGTTTTAGGGTGATGATAACATTACTGGCGGTGAGGCAAACACAAACCGTAACAGCTGGGTCAATTTATTCTGATTCAGATCTGGTTTTAGCGCGAAGATCTGTGTGATTTCTTCCTAGAAAATCGCCGTAATGAGAGTTTCTTGTCGGTGTCTATGTGAACAGTGGGTAAACCGTAAAAACAGTCTTTTCGACACAAGAAGTGTAATTTGCACGATTTTGCGTGTTTGGGGGGCCTGTTTGTCGAGGGAAAATTGAAACTTCGGCTCGAGCCACGGAACGTGAGCTGAAGTTCATTTGGTTGTTGCGATTCTCACGTGGGTTTCACGTGCTATCTCCAATGTGCTTCTGTCTACCAACCCACTTGACTCCCTATCACCCCCTTAGATATGATGTTTTCATTTTGTTCTTTCAATTTGGAATTTTTTTATTGTGTGTATTTATTATATATATTTTTATAATTATTAATATAAAAATATATTGATATTAATTTTAATAATTATTTAATTAAATTTATTTAAATTGTTAATAATATTAAAATTAATGTCAAATCTTATAAATTTTTTAAGTAAATTAATATCAATAAGTATATTACATGCACGTGGGGCAGAGCATGGAAAAATCTTTTAATTTTAATTCATCGGTTTTCTCGTTCTTATTTTCTAAATTGGTATGCTATCAATTGATTGGCCTACCGCCAAGCTGTACAAGTTTTGGACGATTGTGATATTTTAATTTGTGGGTTAATTTGGGAAATTTTATTTATCTATTTATTTGTTTATTTTTTACTGTTGTGGACAGGCTAAAGTGTTTCATTATGGATCAATAAGCTTGATCGTGGAGCCATGTAGATCAGCTCACCTTAAGGCAATGGAAGTGGCCAAACAAGCGGGGGCCTTGCTTTCATATGACCCGAATCTCCGATTGCCATTGTGGCCCTCAGCTGATGAGGCACGGAACCAGATAATGAGTATTTGGGACCAAGCAGATGTGATTAAGGTCAGTGATGTTGAGCTGGAGTTCCTCACTGGGAGTAACAAAATTGATGATGAGACTGCCCTTTCTCTCTGGCGCCCCACTAGCAACTTGAAGCTCCTCTTGGTCACCCTTGGTGAAAATGGTAGCAGATATTACACCAAGGTATGTCAGATTCCCTTTTTTTCCTAATGATTGTGAAGTTGGTTGGATCAACAATTTTGACTTTTAGCTCTCATGGGTAGGTGGGTGACGTTTTCGTATACATCCATGCGCTAGAGTTTGGTAATGCATAAGAAAATCCCTTTTTTTTAATTCAAAGGCTTTAAAAAATTTCTAATGCTGGACTTCAGTTCCAATTGTTGAATTTGACACACGATCCTTAGTCTACTCTACTCTTTATTGAAACATGGATGCCCATTGGTTGATGCCAAGAGGCAAGAGAGGCAAATTATTTACTAATATTTTCAATTTTAAACGAGGAATTTACTTCAGTTCCAATTGCTGGTCCCCCCCCCGAAAATTGGCAACTTGAATTTTTTGCAATGTGGTTTTCGTTTGGTGGTAGCCTGGTAGGTGGATGGATCTTATCCAAACATGAATGTTATGCATTATTCTTGCAAGCTTTGGTTTCCATGGTAAAAATGAGGCGCTGTTAAATTCTGGTCGCATTCAAGATTTTTAGCTAAGCTGGCATTTTGATGTTCCATACAAAAGGTCAAAATCAAAAGGACTTTTCATTACTTTTGATCTTCTGTTGGAGAAGATAATTAGGCTTCTATTGTGTTTCTTAACAAATAGAGCTCCCTTAAGACTTGCCTAATGCTCAGTCTCTTTCTTGTTTATACAAATACAGAAATTCCGTGGATCTGTTGATGCTTTTCATGTCAACACCGTCGATACAACTGGTGCTGGTGACTCATTTGTTGGAGCACTTCTATGCAAGTTTGTAGCTGACCCATCTGTGCTCGAGGTTAGCTAATTTTATCAATTGCCACTAATCATTGTCATCCAAAAATAATCATCTGCCCTCTTTATTATTCTCTTTCATAATGTGTTTTCCATCTCAAATCCCAATAGTGTTTTCTAATTCTCCAAATTAAAGATTGGGACTAGTCCCCAACCTTGTATTCCTGACTTTTGTTTCCTTTGCAGGATGAATCAAAATTGAGGGAGGCTCTCAAATTCGCCAATGCGTGTGGGGCCATCACAACCACCAAAAAGGGTGCAATTCCAGCTCTTCCTGCAGAGGCTGATGCTCTCGCCTTGATCAAAGGAGCGAAGTAAACTTCATCAGTCGCACATTTCCCCCCTTTTTTGGTTTTTATATCTTTTCATATTGGAGTGTAAGCTTAGGATCTCGATCTCTTCTAATTTTTCCCATCCCCTGTTTCTCCTGTACTGATGAAAAGACGTTTCTTTGAGTCATTTGGGAATAATTCTTTTTTCTTTTCCCTGTTTCGCATGTGTTTATGTTTTGTGTAAGAGAACTAGTGCAGGTAACTTGCAGCCATAATTGTGGTGTTCTTTTTCCTTTACTTTTATTTTGAAAAGCAAATGGCTTACCGTTCAGTCAACTCTTGAACAAAACATGTTCGGCTTTGGCCTACCAGGTGGTGGGTGTAATAATGTAATAAATTGTGGACCTAACCTAACCCAACTGCTAGGTTTTAAGACTTAAATAAAAGCTACTTTCACAATTAACTCAAATTTAGGCGTCTTACCTAATTCTTTAGAATAATTGTATGGTCCCCTCTCCTCCATTGCCTATTTTCAAAAAAAAAAAAGAAAAAAATTGTATCGTCCTCTCCTAAATCAACATTCTGGTGGTTGTAGGGAGTGATTGACTTTTGATTTAGTAACTTATTCAATTTATCAATCTTTTTGATTTGTTTATTGGGCCTTCGCCATTCACCAACCTTTTAAATTTGATGAACTAACAAATTTGATTTGCTTCATACATGCTTTATTCATAATTTTTTTTCCTGATCTTTGTTACTACTTGTTATTGGCACTCCAAATACGGATTTTGGAAGTTGAGGGCGTGTTGGTGTTGACAGCTGCTATAAGCCACTGGCCTGCGGATAGCATTCCACAACCTCCACCTTCAAGGACCTCCAAGTTTGTTTTGCATTTCTCCCACCTTGATTGCATGCTGGCCAGAAAATTCACCGCCCACGTTTCATTGTTCCCTCCAAAGCTCAAATCATGGGGCACTGAGAAACTGTTAAACAATTTAAGAGCAGATAGTGACTGGAAACTTGAGAACCCTAAAGAGTTGACTCTCCAGGCCAACCAGCGTTAATTTTAAGTCACTAAAGCATGCAATTGCTTACCTCATCAGTTCTTCAAGTTAAGATCCTTTATTGGCAATAGCACGCCTGCAACATTTGACAATTAATGACTTTTAAGATTAACAACTTAATTTTCTTCCAACAAAGAGTAAGAGTAAAAATTAAAGCGTGCTAATATTTGGAGATTTGGTGAAAAGATTATGTATATAAAGTCAGGAAGAACAAACCTGCACACTAATTGTTAGATATGAAGGGATTTGGTTGAAAGATTGATTATATAGAGCATCTTTAATATGATCTTTGCTGAACAAGTAAACGACTGGATTACCAAGAAGCCATCTGAAACTGATTAAAAGTCAAATTACTTTCATGAGAAGGCATCCACAGAGTATTGATGAATTCAGTGTCATCCAGAGCAAATTAATAATATGGTTTTAGAGAAAATTAATAACATGGTTTTGCTGTATTACAGGGATAACTACATGACAGATCCTTCACACCTCATTCAACTTCGTTTTATTTTTTGCTTTCGGTTTATTTTTTGCTTCATGAATTAAACTTCGTTTAAACTTTAAAGTAAATAAGAGACATGGCATGTGACGGAATTATGATGCAATCCAGCATGATTCTGCCATCAATTTCATTTCACAAATGAGTCAAGCATCAAAACGTAGCCAACTCCAAAATGCAATTTGACATGTGCAGTCAACATCAAAACTTGACACACATATTTTACACCCAACTTGAAGTACTAGAAACTAACAAGATTCATGATGTTGAAGAAGGCATGAATGGCAGTGTGAAAACTGAAAAGTATATCATAATGATATCAAAACTAAGGCTTATAAGAAAAAAAACCATAACTTACGAAAAATGAGGTCAACGAGTTGCACATTTAAAGTTGGCACATTGACCTGAGTACCAGGGATGCAGCCACTGAGATCAACAACTTGAGAGGATTGAGAAGAGGTAGGCTCGCTAGAGGAATTGGCATTAGCCATGTGATCTATCCTGTCATGTGGCAAGGGGATCATTGTTCATTTCATCAAGAGGCAAAATATATATATATAGAGAAAAGAACTTCTTAATTGACATAAATTGCATTCCTAGTGAGCTTTTGTCTTCGTTTGTTGTCATCTTGAACAAAAAGAGAAGTTTCTCACTCAAATAAGACAAAGTGTCACATCTAGAGTGGAAAAGAAAATTTGCACAATAAAAGCATGAGGCAAAAATGAAACCTTTGAAGGATCCTGTTCTAGATCTACAAATAGAAGCTCTATTTCTGAATCCAAACTTGACCTCACATGCTCAGCCATTTCTTTTACATGTATCAGATATATCATTTCATCAAAAACCATTACCCTTAGATGTTCAAACATGGGGAACTCCTGAATGACATAAGATAGGAATATAGGAGCATTACTTTGCCAAAGTAATGGCAAATATTCCAATAAAGAACAAGAAAAGAAAAGAGAACAAAAACATTTTGTAATAAACAAGAAAATGCTAAATTTAAACTAAACTTCAACCATATAGAGTTGATGCAAGAGTAGCTAGCTTGAAAAGCTTTTCCCTCTTTCCTCTTTCCATGGAAAAGAAAAAAGAAGTTAGAGTAATAAGTTGAACTGAACACCACCAAACTGATAGCAAATCACGAAGAGTGTCTATGGGTGATTATATAACAAACCATCCAAAATAGAACTCCAGGCCATCTTCTTGTGTGCACCATTGTGCGGGAAACAGCATAAATTAAACATCATTAAATGCTAACCAGGT